TTTTTTTTTTATTATGAGTTGGAGTCTCACTCTGTCGCCCAGACTGGAGTGCAGAGGCCGCTCCCGGCCACTGTAGCCTCGACCTGCTGGGCTCCGGTGATCCTTCCGCCTCAGCCTTCCAAGTAGCCGGAATTACAGGCAGCGCTACCACGCCCAGCTGATTTTTTGATTTATTGTAGAGATGAGGTCTCGCTGCCCAGGCGGGTCTCGAACCCGCGGGCTCAGGCAATCCACTCACCTCAACCTCCCAAAGCGCAGGATTACAGGCTGAGCCACTGAGCCCGGCTAAATGCCAGCATTCTGGGACGCCATTTTCTCTTCACTGGACACGACCCAGGGAAGCCAAATGGTTGGACACTCCTAGTATATAGTGTAAGGTAGAGAGTCTCATGCATTTGGGGGTTAATTCTAGATACGATATAATGTTTGATGCTAGAGTGGCTATCTTTTGAAAAATTTTTTATTTTAGTTGCCGTTGCTAGTGGGAGAAACATGCGGGACTCTTCCCCTGCCTCCACTGCCCACTTGCCTGGCTGGATCCTTGGACTGGGGGCTGGGGTCACAGTGGCCACCCCTCGAATGGGCCAGTCCTTCAGGAAACTGGTGAAGAAACGGTGGCTCTATACAATTAAACCCAAAATGGCCAAGGGCAGAGATGTCTGGGGCCACCAGGACTGACAGGCAGCAGCTGCCACATCAACTCTTCCCGGTCAGGTGCTGGTGACGTCAAGCCGGCAGCCTGAGACTGGCCACAGGTGAGTACCTGGCCCCAGAAATCCGCAAAGCCTTCAAATCGGGGCTCTCCCTCCCACCGCCTCAGGTGTCCAGCAGACGTCTCTTCACAAGTCTCCCCTCTCCTCCTGGGACCCCGGCTGCCTCGCCAGGTCTGGACCCAAGACCGGCCCTTTCCAAGCGCCAGAGGAAGTGAAGGACTGGTGCGAACTCAGAGGCCCAGATTCGAGCCCATAGCCTGCGGCTTCCTAGGTTGACTGTCGCACCCCTTTCCCCTCCATCTGCTCCTGGGAGACTCGAGAAGGTAGGGGACTCTGCACCCCCTAAAGCCCAGCCACGGGACTGCAGCAGGGGAGCGCTCAACACGTGTTTGGTGAACAACTTTATTTTTCTTTTTTTGCGTCGGAGTCTCACCCCGTCACCCAGGCCTGAGTGCAGTGGCATGCTCATGGCCACCACAACCTTGGCCTGCCGGCCTCCGGCGATCGTTCCACCTCAGCCTTCCAAGTAGCAGGAACTACAGGCACGCCCTACCAGGCCCGGCTCATTTTCTGATTTATTGTAGAGACGAGGTCTCGCCAAGTTGCCTAGGTGAGTCTCAAACCTGCAGGCTCAGGCAATCCACTTGCCTCAGCCTCCCAAAGTGCTGGGATGACAGGCTGAGCCACCAAGCCTGGCCTGCTGAACAACTTTAAAAATCCACCTTGAATTTATTTTTGGTGTGATGTGACCAAATTATTTTTTTCTGAAGTTAGCCAGTTATTACAACACTAGATCCTGAATATTCAGCATCCTCTCCTGGCTCTATGAGACTATGTAGCAAATTATAGTGACCCATGTTCACCCTGCAGCAACACCCAAGCTCGCTCCACCCCAGTTGTAACTTTGTATCCATTCACCAACCTCTGCACACCACACTTACTAGGCTCTGACACCCACAATTCTACTTTCTGATTCTATGAGCTTGATTTTTTTTTTGAGTTGAAATCTCACTCTGTCACCCAGACTGGAGTGCAGTGGCCGCTCCTGGTCGCCACACCCTCAACCTGCTGGCCTCCGGCGATCCTTCCGCCTCAGCCTTCCCAGTAGCTGGAACTACAAGCACGCACTAACACACCCAGCTACTTTTTATTTTTTATTTTTTTGAGTTGGAGTCTCACTCTGTCGCCCAGACTGGAGGGCAGTGGCCGCTCCCGGCCACCGCAGCCTCGACCTGCTGGGCTCCGGCGATCCTTCCGCCTCAGCCTTCCAAGTAGTTGGAACTACAGGTGCGCGCTACCACGCCCGGTTGTTTTTTTTTTGTTTTTTTTTTTTGATTTATTGTAAGAGATGAGATCTCACCAAGTTGCCCAGGCGGGTCTTGAACCTGCGGGCTCAGGCAATCCACTCACCTTGTAGTCCCAAAGTGCTGGGACTACAGGCTGAGCCACAGAGCCCGGCCAAATTTTTGATTTATTGTAGAAATGAGGTCTCACCAAGTTGCCCATGTGGGTCTCGAACACGCGGGCTCAGGCAATCCACTCATCTCAGCCTCCCAAAGTGCAGGATGACAGGCTGAGCCACCAAGCCTGGCTATCCTAACTCATTTTAGCAAAAGAGTAAAGAAACCAAGCACTTGTCTCCCACCCTTATGGGTGCTGGTGGTCTGAACTTTCCTTCGGGGACCTTTTTGCCTCCCTAGGGAGTAGCCCTAGACAGAGACCATCAGTTGTCCTCCGAGATCCAGCCCCACCCACGGGGAAACTCAGAGATCTTGGCTAGAAGGAAGCAAAGAGTTAACCTTAGTCCCTCATCCAGTCAGGCCACAGCGGTCTGATGTCTTTCCCTGGAGCCTTTCAGCACGCTGAATTGTAGCCTCAGCCAGAGCCTTCAGCTGCAACCAGGTGCCAACAGAGTCCACAGAGGGTCACCAGGTAGGAAATAAGAGAGAGAGAGACAGACAGATCTCGGTGGGACCTCCAAAATGTTAGGGTACGGACGGACAGGGTGAGGGTGGAGAGGTGCAGGGAGGCACGCAGCACTGCCGGGCATGGCAAGCCGGAGGTGTGCGCTGGCAACCCAGAGATCTGAGTAGATGCAAAGAATTGCAACACACAAAAAGGTTAAGAAAGAAAAGTTTATTTAAAATTCACTTTGAAAGAGAAAAGATTCACCTCCCCAAGGTGGGGGAGGGCACCAAAGCCAGGAAGCATGGCGACAGCCGTGGCTCAAAGAGCACATGGCCACACCAGACTCTACCAAGGCAGTGGCCCCTGGTGGCTTGTGGCTGAGTCCTTTTAACCATTCCCCTAGACGGGGGAGGATCATTAAGGTGGTTGGGTGGTGGTCTGCTTCCACGTCATCACAAAGGGGCGGGCAAGCACAGATACTGAGGATGTCGGGCGATGGACAGCAGGCAGATGGGTGGGTGAGTCACATGATTGCTGCCGTGGTGGGACTTCTCTGTGTCACGTAGGCTAACCCTGGGGGGAGTGATTCCTGCAAGAGACTTGTGAGACATTTGCAATTCACAGACTCAGACATTTACAACTCACCAACTCTTATGACTTTGGCCAGCCAAAGGGTGATCTTTGATCTTCAGCTTTGGCAAGGAACCTAAAAGTTTACCAGAGATGATTATGCTAAACCATGAATGCCAAACCCAGTGCTCCCACCATCTGCAGGGGCTCCAGATCCCATCATCACCAGTGGACTGGTAGTGGTGTTGGCAACTGACGTGGTACTTTCCCCAAAGCTAGGTGCCGGAGTCCAGCTCCAGCGGGTCAGGGTTTCCTGCAGGAGGAACACCATGGGCACAGACACTGACTCTGCTGCAAGCAGGACAAATGCCAATTTATTGTCTTTTTCAACTCCTTTTATACCCTAGATTTTGGCTTGAGCCGAAAACAGGTTTTTCCTTCTCAAGGCAATCGGTTTCCATTTAATGGATCGGACAGGCAATGTGTCTTTGTCCATCCTGTTTTGGTCTTTGTTTCAACCCTAATGGGATTCTGTCTATCCTGCCATCTGTGCTGTTTACTTTCTAGAACTACAACATGTTTTTTTTCACCCTGAATGTTATCTCTGAATGTCATTTCTTATCTATGTACAATGAGTTATAAATTCTCTTAATGCTTTATCTTAAAAAATGATCATCCTGAGATTTACCATTTACTGTAAATTTTGTAAACTCCTAACAGTTTTTAATGATTACCATTTTCTCAATTGTCCATACAAACACTTACTAATCTCTATAACTGTTACATTATAGATCACTACCAAGTTTTAAGCACTATAACTGTTACATTGATTTATAAGTTACACCTGTGACCTTCACACAGCAATTTGCAATTAAGCGGGGTAATGCAACATTCTCAAGGTTTCTTAGCCACAAGTTGACCTGACTAGCTTGCTTTAATGTCACATCTGGTGTTTACAATCTGCATCAATTATCCCCTGCCAGGGAGAATGGGTTTCAATGTTTGTGAAACAAAAGGCCCCCTGGGCTCAATTTACCTTAGTACAATCCTTAACAAAAATTGCAAGCCTCCTTAACAAAGGAAAGAAGACCAAGTGTGCTCTAATGAAGAGTATACTTTTAACAGAACATATCCTTCTTTTACTAAACACGACTATTTGGTAAAAATTCTTTCTCCCATATAGAGCTCTTCACATCTTGCAACTCCCAGGTTTCCAGTGGTGAGATCAAGAGTGGAGATAGGAGAAGCAGGAATAACAGCTGCCCAGTGTTGCCCTGCAACCTGGGGTCTTCAGCCTTCCGGGCCCTGTCCACAAGAAGTCCTCTAAGGCTGGCTTCCAGCAGCCAGTCATCCTGGTGGCCACTCGAAAGCAAGAAGTTGGCTTGGCAGGCGCCGCCGCCTTGAGCCTTTTCCCACCAGGCATGGTCAACCCCACCGTGTTCTTCGACATCGCCATCGATGGCGAGCCCTTGGGCCGAGTCTCTTTCGAGCTGTTTGCAGACAAAGTTCCAAAGACAGCACAAAACTTTCGTGCTCTGAGCACTGGAGAGAAAGGATTCAGTTATAAGGGTTCCTGCTTTCACAGAATTATTCCAGGGTTTATGTGCCAGGGTGGTGACTTTACACGCCATAATGGCACTGGCGGCAAGTCCCTCTCTGGGGAGAAATTTGATGATGAGAACTTCATCTTGAAGCATACAGGTCCCGGCATCTTGTCCATGGCAAATGCTGGACCCAACACAAACGGTTCCCAGTTTTTCATCTGCACTACTAAGACTGAACGGTTGGATGGCCAGCATGTGGTTTCTGGCGAGGTGAAAGAGGGCATGAATGCTGTGCAAGCCATGGAGGGCTTAGGGTCCGAGAACGGCAAGACCAGCAAGAAGATCGCCATTGCTGACTGTGGACAACTCTAATAAATTTGACTTGTTTTATCTTAAACTAAAAATAATAATAAAAAATAAAGCAAGAAGTCTTGACCTTGCCAATATGGAAATCGCTTGATTTTCCACCAAAGGCTGGCTGGGCTCACGTTGCTCTTCTAATTGGGCCTTGCTATCCAGATTTTATCATATCAAAGTTGCAAAACCTGATGACAGGATGGGGACTTTCACTCCCACTGGGGTGGCTGGGTTTCCCCAAATGGGAGAGCTGTTAGACTGCTGCTGCCTCTCAGGGGCTCCAAGTGCAGGCTTAAGGCTTGACTTTCAGCCTGACTGCCCAAAGTTCTGGAATTATTCCATTGTCTCTACACTGGCAGGATGCCCCCTGGATTAAAAAGATGGTTAGAAGCTGCAGTTGGTCCCCGTACTGATTTTGCAAGCACACTGGTGGAGATTTGGGCTCAGGATCTGTTGCCACGGCGTAGCTGGGCTGCAGACCTCGAGCCTTTCGCTTTTCCTGGTTTCCTCACAATGACGGAGCTGCTAGTCTGTCGCTGCCCATCGAGGGTTCCAAATGAGGGCTGAGAGGGATCTCTTGGATTAAATGAATGGCGAGAAGTTGCAGTTGGTCCCCCTACCGACTGCATAGACCAACTGGTAGAGACTTGGGCTGAGGCTATACTGCCACTAAGCAACGTATTTTTAGAATAAGGGCCAGATTGGAAGATCTGGGCCTTCCATGGCAGCGTGGTGTCCATGGCATGTGGGTCAAAGGCAGGCTGGCGTGCTGCAGATGAGCTGCCCATGAAGGGGGCATATGGAACATGGTTCTGGCCGTACCTGGGGCCAGATCGGAAGATCTGGGCCTTTGACGGTGGCGTGGTGTCCATGGAATTTGGGTCACAGCCAGGCTGGCATGCTGCAGACACGTTGCCCATGAAGGGGGCATATGGAACGTGGTTGTGGCCGAACCAAGGCCAGATCGAAAGATCTGGGCCTCCGACGGCGGTGTGGTGTCCATGGTATAGGGGTCAAAGGCAGGCTGGCATGCTGCAGACACCCTGCTCATGATTGGTGTGGACTTGATTTGTTGGACAGGGGTGGTAGGAGTCCTGGTGGAATAGATTGGAAGAGGGGCGGGAATGGAATGAGAGGGGGCATCTCGACTCATGGGTGACACCGACTCCCCTCCACAGACTGGAGGCTTGACGAGAGCGGGCTTAGGAGGTGAAGAGAAAGCCACAGGAGACACAGCAGCCACATGGGCCAAGTCAGATGTGGCAGGAAGAACCAACACCTGCCAAGAAGTCGAAGTGGCAGGTATGGAGGTGGACGGGGCAGGCTGGCTGGCACCGCAGTGTGCTTTGGCCTCTCGTGTGTCCTCCACACGGCCCCTCTTGTCGGCCAGGGTGAGTCTGCTCCTCTTCCTCCCGACGCCCTTCTCCCAGGTACCCAGGTCTTCCTTCACAGGTACACAGGGACGCTGAGGAGGCGGGGGCAGTTCACCTCCATCCCACACCTGTTGTGGGGAGAGAAACAGGGCAGCCTGGCTGGCACTGTTGTCTGCCATGGCCTGTGGCAATTTATCCTCGACAGCTCGTCTCTTTTCTCCCCGGGCTTTTCTGTTCCCTGGATGTGGGGCCAGCTCACCTCTCTCCCACCTCAGTGGCGGTGGAGGTGTCAGCAGTGGTGGCCGGGGCCACAGCAGTGGACTCCGCCTTTTTCTTGGGCACGGCCGATGACCGGCGGCTCTGAGTGGAGGGGAGCTCCTCGGTGTGGCCTCTGCAGGACGGCTGTCCTGCCCCTCTCTGTCCACCCTCAGCAGCCCCGGGGAGTGGGGTGGACGGCCGTTGTGCAGCACGCCCTTGGCTGACTCCTCCGGCAGCAGGGGGTGCTCTGGCGTGGAGTCAGTGAGCGCTCTTGGCCCCGGGTCAGGATTCCCGAAAGGCAGGTCACCACCAGCAGGGCTGAGCGAGATGAGGCCGGCCGAGGAGGCGTCCGTCGGAGACACCCGGCTCTCCTCCCTCCCGCCGTCTCTGGGGGACTTAAGATGGCGAGAGCCTTCCAGGGACTTGAGGAGGCACTGGAGGGACGCGGGGCTTCCCTGAGTCTCCAGCGTCGTGGACAAGGCTGATCCCTCGGCGTGGTTCGGAGGGGCCCTTCCCTTCCCGTCCTGCCCTTCGACCCCGACATGACCTTCCTCCTTCGCAAGTCCATCCTCCCTCGGGAGACAGGATGCTCCGGGCTTCGCAGCCCCGACGACGACCTGCTCCGGCAGTGGTGACTGCAGGAGGGTGCCCGTACGGCCGGGAGGAGGGATCCTCACGTGTCCAAACGCTGTGGCATTTCGAGGGGACAGCTTGTGCTTCTTCTCAGGAGGCTGCTTGCAGGACACAGGCCGAAGGCAGCCCCGAGAGGAGCCCGTGTCCTGTGGGAGAGGACGCCGCCCGCCAGGGTCAATGTCAACGCCGTCTGGCGACGGTGCACGGCCCCTGTGCCCACTGAACCGTCCACGGCAGTCGCCGGCGGTGCAGGGGCCGGTGGCGTGGCAAAGCAACGCAGCTCACAGCGGCCCAGCAGGGGCGGGCGGTGAGCGCAGGGAGAGAATTTACTGAGTACGTTGCCCATTCGGAGCAAGTTGTGTGTGACACAGTCCCGTGACGAGGGTCAGATGCCGAGACTACTCCCCGAAGCACTGACTCCTCCGGAGTCGGGGCACACACTGGACAGCCCCGCTCCTGCGGCGTCCAAGGAGACACACTGATGTCGAAGGAGACATTGTGTTGTCGGAGACATTGTGACAGGCAAGAGGCGGGACATGTGGGAGCCAGCAGAGGGGCCAGGAAGAGGAGCCAAAGGGCAAAGGGCAAAGCGCCCCGGCGGAGCTTCCTGGCTCTGCAGGCTCCGCGGACTCTGGCTTGCACACCCAGCAGCCTGTGTCGGCCACCCCGTGCGGCTCCCCAACC